CGGCGCGGCCGCTCCCGGTCTCTCCTGGCGCTGGGATGCGGCGCGGTGGTCTGGAGGAGTGGGGATGGTTGAGGAGTCCCAGGGGCGTGGGGAGTGCTGAGCCTTTCAGGAGTGAGGGGGTAGCGCCAGGTGGCTGAGCGGAGCGCCTAGCCGAGGGTGCTGATGTGCTTTGCCTTGTGGTTTTCCTAGTATAACCTGTCAGTAGATTTTCTTAAAGTTCCTTCATAGTCCCAAACTTTGGATGATCTTATCTTCTTAATAAGTGCTTGTTTATGTGCAAGCTGCCCTCATCCTTTGCTTCTCTCCACATATATTTTTGCCTGCTCTCTGAGAATATGATGCACTTATCTATTTTTTTTCCTTACAAGTTCCTTCAGACAGAACAATGGAAGATAAGGGGGGAAACTATGTTTCTGGAGAAGTAACTGATGTGTTGGAATCAGTTTCATTTCTGAATGTGGAGGGTAGACCTTCACCCTTGGAATCAACACTATTGCCTATTGCAGAGGAACAGCAGGTGTGGATTGGTTTTATAAATTGTCTGCTGGTGATGCTGGTCTTTTCTTTTTGAGCTTTAAGTCTGACAGATACTTCTTTGGTAAGAACTGCTGTGCTCCTCTGCCCCTGAAATGTGTCTGTCCTGTTTTCTTATTGCTTACACAGAGATCAGAACCGGTACCAAATGCAGATGGTCAATGCTGTGATAAAACACTAAGCTTTTGAGAAAGAAGTAAAGCGCTTCAGTAATTACACTTTGAATGTAGTGAGACTCTACTGTTCCATTTAGTAAGCTAAAAAAGGGTATGGATCCTTGTTGAAAGCCTGTTAGGTGCTTGGAAACAAAAACCTATGATGTGTTGCATTTCAGCAGAAGATAGTATAGTCATCTCTGCTTTTTTAGAGTGGCAGGTGTCCTAATTGACTTCCCTCAGGTGACTTAATTTTGTATGATTACTGGCATGCTGGTCATGGGAGGGCTTTAGAGAACTCCAGTAAATCCCTCTGCTGAATGAGAAGTTACTGAAGTAAAGACTTTGAAGCCTAGTAAGAAAGGAAGGAATGCTGGGATCATTCTAAAAACCATCCTGCTATTACTGCTTTATCTGGGTAGGGAGACCTTTGTATAATGGCCAGGGGATGGAAAAGTCCACTTTAGCAACTGAGAACAGGTTCATGGTTGTTACTGTGAGGGAAGCTGAGGGGCTGGTGCCTGGGTGGTGGGAAGGAAGCAGTCTCTTGAGGCTAAGAATGGGTCAATCTGTTAATTGAACGTGCTCCCTACAAAGTGAAAGTGCAGTACTATGTAGCAGCTGTAACAAAGTGCAGCTTGTATCAGTACAGAGGGAGACCAGAAGGTGGAAGCAGTGCAGTTTGTGGCTCTGGTACTGTGCTCTTTGAAAATCAAAATACTGGTTTAGACATGAAAGAACACTAAGGGAGGGTAGAGAGGGGGCACACAAAAAATGGGGTTACTTAAGTACAGTAGGAGGTAAAGAATCAAATGAAAGCCTAGTCTGAACTTCTCAAGGAAGGAAAAAGTAAGGCAATGAAATAGAAAATACTGCATCAAATACATATGCTGATGTGATTTGGGGGTGTTCTGTCTAAAAAGTGGCAATTATAACTGTTTTGTGTCTTTTTTTTTTTTTAATGAATAGGTTTATCAGCCTTTGAGAGTTTTCTTGAGAGTGAGACCCTTTTCTACAGCAGATCTCGAAAGCCATGAATCTCAGGTTAGTCGTAGAATTAGGAATTATGCTTTTCTTCTCCCCGAAGAGCATGTAGCATTGTAAGGTGTAAGTTTCATTTACAAAGGCCTTGTAGTGCTTCCAAATCGAATTAGTGGACACTTGGATAAATGTGATTATTTTTTCAACCACAGTTTTTACTAGTTTGTGTGGTACAGACGTGCACCTGTAGCTCTGCGAAATTCCACTGGGTATGTTATTTAAAAATTGGTGTCGCTCTTCACTCTGTACAGTGCTCAAGAAACAGGAGTTTCATGGAAGAGATTATGCAATTCTAGGAGCAATTTGGGTCTCTGACCCTCTAATTTCTTTGCAATGCTTCAGTATTCTACTACATCATCCTGGTGCCTTGCTGCTCAAACTGTCAAATTCTTCTATAACCTCTACCATTTATGCTGTCAGGTTCAGATGCTTCAGTGCTTTACACATATGTGCACACACAAACAGGCAAAAAAACTTCCCTTCACCCTCACTGTGGACACTAGTGCAAAGAATTCATCCAGATATCTTTGGAGGACAAAGTCTCTGAAGTGTATCTCTCAGCCCTTGTGGTTGCTGGTCCTCACGGGGTCTCTGCTAGGCCTCTTGTTCCTGACCTGTTTGAAGAAGGATTTAATAGTAGTTCTGATTTACTTCTTGCGATTAGCTTTATAAAAATATATTCTTGCATTTGTTCTACCAGAGTTGGAATTTTTGTATTGTTTTTGCTTGTATTACTTTGTTTTCCCTGTCAACTTCCATTTGCCTTTCCTTGGGCGGTAGTACGTACCGCCACAGTGCTTCCAGTTTGGTAAATTCTGCAGTCTGACCTGGCTGTAAAGGTAAATTGATTTACAAACCCAAATTGTTTTACGAGTTGTTTATCTCATTCCTCTTTGGAGCGAGACATTTCTGACCTCCTGACCATTAGAGAAACTACGTGTTCTGAAAAGCAGGGATGAAAAACGTTAGCATTGAAGTTCATACTAGATTTTTTTTTATAGCTACTCATGTGGTTCATGCTGCAATAGTTCGAATTCCAACATATTAGTTGTATAACCTATTTGCATGGGATGGAAGCTTTTTTTTCAGCCTCCAAAAACAGAATGACTGAAAGATCTTCAACATCTTCTATGTTTTCTACTTTTGTTACTATCACCTGAATCCAGGAGGAAAATGCTTGATAACAAATGGAAAAAACACCCACAAAGCCATCAAACAACCCCTCCTTACTATCTTTAAATCAATCAGATAAATTTAATTGGTTTTTTTTAAAATTTCTTTTCCTCCATGCTTAATTTTCAGGAAAGCATCTTTGTTCCAAATATGTAGCAGGAAAAGAAAAAGTTAGAACCCAAGACCTATTTCTTATCTCTGTAGACTGATGCTTTAAACAGGCAATTAGTAGGTTAACTGATCCATTGTTGCTTATAGAGATAATGATTTATGGCAGTAAAGCTTTAAAGGGCTGGATGAAATTCTGTACTCTCGATACAATTGCCAGTGACTCTCCAGAGTCACCTGTGGGAGAGCAGGAAGTTGTGTTTTTTGGATATGAAGGATGTGTACAGTGCCAGACATGGTCCAGCTCCTGCCAGCTTGCCTGCAGGGTGAGCTGGGGGAGACAAATAGAGCGATGTGCTACCAGCTGGCTTCCATCTCTGCAGGTCTGGCTACTTCAAGGCCATTCATTAGCTTCTATGAGGCAGCTGATGGCACATATTGCAGATATTGGATTGTTCTGTAGCTCTCTAGGGTTTAGTTCATCCAACCTGCATTTCTGTTCCTGATGGTGTGGAAGGAATGTTAAAGACTATATGGATTTTGAGCCTGGCACAGTGAGCAAGTGATTGGTCTAAATTCAGGAAGCAGCTTCTTAGAGCTTCACAGGATCACAGAATATCTTGAGTTGGAAGGGACCCCCAAGAATCATCAAAGTCCAACTCCTGGCCCTGCGCAGGACATCCTCAAGAATCACACTATGTTCCTGGCAGTGTTGTCCAAATACTTCTCAAACTCTGTCAGGCTTGGAACTGTGACCATTTCCCTGGGGAGCTTGTTCCAGTGCCCAACCACCCTCTGGGAGAAGAACCTTTTTCTATATCTAACCTAAACCTCCCCAACACAGCTTTGTGCCCTTCCCTCAAGTCCTGTCACAGGTCACCAGAGAGAAGAGATCGGTGCTTGCCCTTCCACTTCCCCTCATGAGGGAGTTGTGGAATGCTGTGAGGTCTCTACCAGTTAATTACTAGTACAGAGCTTCTATACCAGTTAATAAACAGACTTGTTAACTGAGACTCCTAGGAAGAGCAGCACCTCCTATGTACATGCCTACACATGGGTTATTAGTCTTACCAGCTCTGAGCAGTCTCTGAATAGAAATGCCAGATTTAGTTACAATCCATCCTTGCAGCTGGTGCATCGTTAAGCTATACTGGTAGTTTGGTTTGTATTTTTGGTAGCCAGTCTAGTGTAAAATAAAATTTCCTGTGACACTGCATTCTATATTAAATTAGTGAGTGAGTGCTGGGGAATTGTATTTTACCTTTTCTTAATTGAGAAATAGCAATCAAATTACTTGAAACTAATTCAGTTTCCTTCATTACTGGTAACACTATCAATCGAAGGATAATGCTTCAAACTTATTTTATTAATGCTGATCATAGTCTGTTTCACACTGAAAATTATCAAAGTGGAAAACCAGTAGATTTCTATGTTGTTCTGTTTTCATAGCTAGGGTTGTGCAAGTTGCAATCACAAAGTATCAGCGTTTAGAAAGTGTTTCCAAAAAAACCCTAAGTTGCTGGAAGGAATGCTAGAAAAACCTTTTACCTCTTGGAAAACTCTAGAGGATTGCCTTCACTTTGTACACACTCTGGCTTTCAGGGGAAGTGGATATCTCTGTAGTTATGTACCTCAAGGTGATAGGTGTAAATTTTACAACTCTTTGTAGCTCCGGTAAATAGGTGGACACATTAGGTTTTTTTGTTTTTATTTTGGCATGTTTGGGCTTTCTTTTTTTGTTGCTATTCAGATAGCTTTCATCCTGAATAATTTTGTGTGGTGTTTTAGTTTACCTTGTCCTGTTTTTTAAGGGTTGCATAACCATTGAAGATGCCCAAACAGTAATTCTTAATGCACCCAAAGAGTCTTCTGCAATGAAAAACAGCGAAAGAGGGATTGGCCATGCTGTGCACAAGTTTACCTTTTCTCAGGTAGGCAAACTTGTTTCAAATTTTTAGTTTGGGTTTGGTTTTTTTTTACTAATGAAGGCTGAATTTTGTACTATATCATGCAATATGATTTTTCTTCTTTTAATTACATGTGGTAGTACTTGCCTTAAAAAGAGACAGCTTATTAATTACTGTTAAGCTGTCAAGAAAGCTTTATTACAATGGAGGTACCTATTAACAGAGACAAGGAAGCTTCCTTGGCAGATCTATGGTTATCTTTGATTAGATGCTATGGAAGTTTCTTTTAGGCACAAACTTACTGTGGTTCTGCTGTTCCTGCAGATGCTCTCTTCTGGGAAGTGTTGCAGGAAATCTTATGTTTGTAAGGACTTATGTAAGCATGTATTTGGGAACTTAATTTTGAAAGAATAACAGCCTAATTGCTTAAACCTTCTGCACTGAAAGTAATTTCTTAACTGATACCTACTGCAAGAAATTCTGTTCTTACAGTATCAAAAGATAAACAGCTCCAGGGACTGAGTCATTTAGAGCATTGTAATGCTGATTTTTCTCATCAGTTGTGGGTGACTGGTGTGGAGTGAGGAGAGAGTTGTACATTACCCGCAGAGTATCCACTGAACAGTGTGCTCAGGAGCATTCTCAGCAGTCTATTTTGGGAGTAGGAAAATATTCAAAAACGAGTGTAAGCCTGAGTGCCTCTCAAAATGAAGCAGGCATCCTGTGAGAACCCAACAGTAAATGTTCTAAGCTGATACCTCCTACCCAGCTTGCTCTGAAAAACTGTTAATCAGTGCTTAATATTTTGATATATTGAACTTATTTCTGCCATTTATCACTCTTTTTTTTTTTCCTTACTTCCCCTTCTCCAAGGTCTTTGGACCAGAAACTACTCAGACTGATTTTTTCGAAGGCTCAATGAAAGAAATAGTAAGAGCATATGTTAATGGAGAGAATGGACTGGTGTTTACTTATGGGGTTACAAATGCAGGCAAGACCTTCACTATCCAAGGTATAACATATATGCCGAAAAAGCATGTGTGAAATCCAAGTCAAAATCCCATGAGAAGCTTACATGAGTGTCTACATTTAATGTTTTGTTATTTTTAAGGTACTTCAAAAGATCTTGGTATCTTACCTCGTTCACTTGATGTGATTTTTAACCACATAAGGGGAAGACATTACCTGAAGATGAACTTTAAACCATATTTGAGCAACGATGTTAAGAAACTAGAAGATGCACAAGTTAAACAGGAAGAAGCCATAAAAACTGCTATTCTTGCATCACTAAAAGAGGTCAGTGACCATATATATTGTTGTTACTGAATGAAACTTCTTAAACCCTTCCTGGCTAAGAGACTGGCTTTAAAATCTCTATTCCACTGTTGATTCTTTAGATTTATCTAAATCTGCAGTATGGATAGTTGGTGAACTTTGAAATAATAAGACAACTGGCTGTTTTGGGAGCTCAGGGTAAACTGGAAGAACTTTCTGCAGCACACAGTTCAAACAAAAAAAAATTGCAAAGTCAAGGCCTCAGTTTCTATACAAAAAAGTAGTCCCCTCTGTAGGAGAGCAGTTTTGGCACAGTGGTGCCACTAGCCCTTGAAAAGTCTCTGAGAGCTGAACTATCTCAAACGTGCTTCTTGTGAAGCGAATTTTCTTTTAGGTCAGGTTCCCAGGATGGATCTGTGTGCAGTCATTCAAATGCCACTACTAGCTCAGGAGAGATGATGGCAATGTCTTAGCAGGGGCAGTGAAGAGGCAAGAGAGTTCCCCACTGGTGGAAGACACTCTTAAGGCAGATAAAAAAGTTTATAGACCTGTGACTTTTTTTTTGTTGTTTTTGTAACTTCATAAAGAAACTTTCTGGGACAGCAGATGAAGTGAGACACCACTAAATGAACATCCTAAAAGGATTCCATCCTGCTTTAGAGGATAGTATGTGTCTTTAACTCTGGGCTCTGAAGATTGTAGGTAGAATAGAGGAGTCTTTGCTGTGGAAGCCTCCTATTCTTATTAGCTAGTTGTAGTGGGTTGACCTTGGTTAGACACCAGGTGCCCACCAAACCTCTTTACCACTCCTTCCTAGCTGGACAGGGGAGAGAAAATAAGGTGGAAAACAACTTGTAGGTTGAGATAAGGCAGTTTACTAAAGCAATAGTTTGCATGTGTTAAAGCAAAGGGCAAGAAAAAAACCCCAGTTTTATTCTCTACTTCCCATCAGCAAGTGAAGTCTGGTCTCTTCCTGGGAAACAGGGCTTCAGCACCTGTAGTGGTTGCTCTGGATGACAATAACAAATGACACTCCCTTCCCTCCTCCTTTTTCAGCTTTTATATCTGAGCTGATGTCATATGGTATGGAATATCCTTTTGGTCAGTTTGGGTCAGCTGGCCTAATTGTGTCCCCTCCCAGGATCTTGCCCACCCCTAGTGTACTGATGGGGGGGCAGAATGTTGTAGAGACATTGCTGATGTTGTGCCTGCACTGCTCAGCAGTGGCAAAAACCACTGGTGTGTTCTCAGCACCTTTCTAGCTATCAATGCAAAGCACAGCACTGTGAGTGCTGCTATGGTGAAAATGACCTCCCTCTTAGCTAGACCGAATACACTAGTCATTTCTCTTTCCAGTGTAAGAAACCTATCTCACCAGAAAAAGGACATCCTTGTGTGCCTGGCTATTCTATACTTTGAAGTCCAATTGCAACTTGTAGCAAGATGTCTGACTTGTTTCCTTTTGTCCAGAACATATTTAATGTGAACTGCATTTAATCCCAGAATAAAGTGGGCTCAGCTGATTATCATTCAAAGCAGCTCTGAATGAATTCTTGGAAGTACAGAAGTAATGTTTGACTGAGTTTTCTTTCTTTTTTCCTGTGGTTGTTTATACTAACATTGTTAAAGTATTCCAGTTAACCCTGAAAGAATATCCTTCTATGAATCAAATTCATATGTAAAGGTCTACTCTAACTTCTGTTGCTTAATTTAAACGCTGCAAAGCAAAACTTTGTTTAGTCTGAGTCTGGTTAAATCTTGAGGAAAAATCTAAAAGTTGCTAAAGAGTGCATATTTATTTTGAAAGTGTCTGTATGAGTATGTGCATGTGCAGGGGATTGGGGTCTTAAAGAAAAATTGAGATGGTCAGTAGGATAGTAGACAAAACTTTATGGAAACTACAGCCTTGGAAAAAGGAACAAGCAGGAGCTCAAGGTCTGGAACAGGAGGTCAAATGTCTTACTTTGAAGATAACTCTATACAAATATTCCTTTCTGTTAAATCACAGTTTGACTTACAGCTTAGTTACAGTAGGTGGTCTAGATGCTGATGTGCTGCAGTGGAAAGCAAGCAGTGCTCTACCATCAGGAAGGAAAGATAAAAATACCTCAGAAAACTATTACATGACAAGACCTTCTTTGCATGTTACAATGCTTCCATGGTGATAGCTCAGCGACCCCCAGCACTGAAGCTGTGCTTCTTGATAGCTTGTGGATGAATAGCATCACTGTTTGGATGCTCACTCAAGCTCGTAATCTGAGAGCAGGTACACTTTGGTGGACTTGGTTTTGGTTTACGTGGATTTCTGTAGGCTCTTTTCCCAGGCTCAGCTTACATATCATGCAGAAAGAGCTTGCTGTTCCTTTCGTTCTCTCAGTTGTAACTGCTCTGAGTTACTGCAGTGCCCTTATACTTGGTGTTCTACTGTTGGTGTTCTGTATACAGTACTGCTGCAAAAACTCTTGCACACCCTCTTTCCTTTCCTCTCCTGGTTTTATTTATGGGAGTAAATACTGGTTTTTACTAGATTAAAAGGTGCTTTATTTGCATTCCTATTCCCACCTGTCCTTGTATCTGATATTAAATGTCAGCTTCTGTTGTTGGCAAACAATCTCAGCTTCTGTTCCCACTTGTTTTCAGGCAGTCATCCTCATGCCCTTTCCTGTATTTGCTCTTATGGTTTGAAGAACAGTATAGCAACATAGGTAATTCACACAGTCTTGTCACAATACCTTTACAAGAGCTTATCACATGCACAAGTGCTATGGTACTGGGTCTTCTACATTCCATTACATTTTTGACATGCAGAGATGTGGTACCATACATGTCAGCCTCATACCCAGCTCTAGAGTTCTGCTTGTGCTTCACAAGCAATGAATAGTATCTGTGCTGTGCTTGTACTTCTAACTGCTCAAGACACATAAGTTAATAGGCGATGCAGTCTTTGCAAAATGGTCACATGTATGATTTTTTTTTTTTGGTAATTTATTTTATGCTATGTATCTTTAAAATGGTAGATCTGAAAGTATGGCTTCATACTTTCCTGTTTGTAAAATTTCTGGTTTGAATATACCAAGTGGGTAACAGCAGCAGCAGTAGTCAATGCATAATAAACTTAGCATTGTATTTGAATAGCCAGAACGTTAAGGTTTCCTTCTCTGAATCTGTTCTCTTCTACTGTGGGATGACCTGTCAGGAATGGGGTCTGGCAAATCAGGGTGAATGATTCTTTTCCTAACAAAAATCTATATGGGGTTACAAAATATAGGGAGGGAGGTAGTATGTAAGGAAAGATGTTGGAATCTCTAAATAGTGGGAGTTGTTTCTTTGATATACTAGTTTTGCCAGAGGTATGTTGAAGCCTGTGCTTTGATGAATCTCGGCAGGTTTAAAATAATTTTATTGGTGTAAAGAAATGTAGCAAATGCGTATACTTAAAGAAACTATGCTGTTCTCAATACAGGATTTTTAATGGCCTTTTAATTCAGTCTGAATTAAACCAACTGTTGGTTTGTCAGATCTTTAAAGCCTTTATGAAGTTATCATTCCACACTTAAAGTTAAGTTTGACTCATGCTCTCACAGATGTGGCACAAGCTTTGTGGTTTTTCAAAAGCGATTTGCAACAAGCAAGCAAATAAAAAATCTCTGCTGCTTTGGTCTGTCCACTGCCCACTTCTACTACCCTGAAGGAAACTTACTTCTCCAGTTCTTTTGTTTCTCAGAATTACTGTTCAGATGTGTCCAGTAGTTCAGAAAAGCATTCTGGGCTGGTGTGTAGAGAATCTTGTTTCTCCCAGGACTGTGAAGTTAAGTCTATGTTAGTAGCAATTGGCCATCAAAACAGGCTGCTGGGAGTAGCAGTGAGCAATAATTCTTGTGAAAAAAAAGAGCATTTTTATAGTTCAGTGTTGTTAAAAACATTTCACCTGCTGCCAGAGTAAGGGTGGTCTAACACTTAGTACTACTTCAGTATTTAAAACTCTAATACTGGAATTACTGTTATTTTTAAACTTTAAACTATGCTATTCTCTTAGTCTGTTCATATGAATATAATGGTTTCTTATTTTCTCAAGGAGATAGAGAGCATCTCAAATCCTACAACAAATGTCTGTTAAAAACATTTCACCTGCTGCCAGAGTAAGGGTGGTCTAACACTTAGTACTACTTCAGTATTTAAAACTCTAATACTGGAATTACTGTTATTTTTAAACTTTAAACTATGCTATTCTCTTAGTCTGTTCATATGAATATAATGGTTTCTTATTTTCTCAAGGAGATAGAGAGCATCTCAAATCCTACAACAAATGTCTGTGTTATGAAGTCAGAGTCTTCCAACTGTGCTTCAAACAATCATCCCTCTAATTCACCAGGTAAAGTGGAAAACTTTTGGAGGGGGGGAGTCATAGAAATTTAGAAATATAAGTGGGTAACTATTGATGGATTGAAAAAAAACCTCTATATTATACTACAAAGTAAATATATATAGTTTTTAACCAACTCTTCATGTTTCAACTCTAGAGAAAAGTAACAATGTAAAGGTATTTTGATAGTTTTGCTCCTTTTGAGGGGAAGAGGGAGACTTAGTTCTGCAAAGTTCTGCAAAGATAATACCTAAACTGCTGGAAGCCTGTGGTAAAGTGGGGGCAATAGCTTAGAACTGGGGCATATTCTGGTTACAGAGAACTGCTGCGTAGTTTGAACATTCTTTGGCAAAGTCAAAGTTAGGCAGTACTGTGTATCTAGTTGTACAACACAGACGTATCAAAGCCTCCTACTTTTAGAAGGTTCTTTAGATCCTTTTAGAAGATTCTCTATACTGAATTAAAATCTGTAATTGAGTTGTTTGGTTGTTGATCTCTTTATCTGTTTTGGGTTTGCAGAGACGGACTTTGTTCCACTTGACATTTATAGGACTACTGTGCACCAAAGAACACAAGCATCTGTGTGGATTTCCTTTTGTGAAATTTATAATGAATATGTTTATGACCTACTAAGTGTATCAAAAACTCAAAAGCGCAGAGTTTTAAGAATTTGTGAGGATCAAGGAGGAAATTCTTATATTAAAGGTAATAATACTGTTTCTAACAGCCTAGGAAGTTTCACAAAATTTCTCTGATCAGAACTGTATGTAAAGGTCCTCTTTTCACAGATTTGAAGTGGATTAATGTTCAGAGCACTGAAGAGGCCTGCAAAATACTGAAAATAGGAAACAAGAACCGAAGCTTTGCTTGTACTAGAATGAATGAGCAATCGAGTAGAAGGTTTGTTCCTCTAATTATAATCATACTCTGTCCCTCTTCTTTTAAGGGAAAGGAAGGAATCTCTAGAATACATGTGAAATGAATCACTCTTCAATAATAGTTTAATATTTTCCTTGATTATTCTGCTTTTGTTGTGAAGTTCTTTCTGAAAGAACTGGAGAGACTATGACTTTAATAATAGCTGGACTGGGGCTGCTATTCATGTCTTCAGACAACCAAAAAGATCAAGTCATATTCTTTTTGAGTGTCACCAGGGCTATATGTCTTGACAAGTGCTAGCAGTGCTGAGTGAGAATGGCTGGGTGAGGACGTTGAAGAAAAAGCTGGATAATTCTTCATTACTGGTAGTATAATTCTTGGAAACTTGGAGCCTGTCAGTAGGGGATATTGGAAGGAGCAAGTGGTGTGCTGTCTTGCAGTGCTGTTAGATTATCGAGATGCTTTTAGATCACTGTGTTCAAGCAAACTTGGTCTCAAGAGTAAACTTCTAGCTTTCCCCAGCTCTGGAGACAGATCAGGGAGAATCTGGCTTTTGATGGAGCTGGAGGAAATAGAGAAGGTGGTATAATAACTGTTGAAAAAGCCAGCTTTCCTAATTTTAATGCCCTTTTGATAATTTGTCATTGTAAGTGTGGAAGGGCCATGTTTTATTTTTAACTAATATAATCACAGTGGAACTAAGCCTGTTTTGGTTTTTTTCTCTACAAAGCAAGAGTTTTGCTGGTGGGTTTTTTGCATTTGCTCCCCCCCCCGTGTTTGTTTCCCTGCCCTTGATTTCCCTCCCCTCCCCTGGTTTCCCCTCTATTTCCCCCCTCTATTTCCTTCTCCCTGTATTTTTCCCCCTCCCTGTATTTACTTTTTTTTTTTCCTCCTGAAAAATTTTATTTTAGAAGTTTCACTATCAAATTGTGAGTTGCTGCTGAGGAGTAAAGCACTGCTTTACGTATGTACCTGAGAAATTTTTTGTCTTTGTTTCCTGACTCAGTGGATAATCTGACACCAGGGCACTTTTGGGTCTGGGATTTTTCTCTGGTTTCAGACCACATAGCATAGCCTTTCTAGCCTGATATCTAAACCAGAGTAACTGGATTTTCAAGTGCTACAAATTCAACCTTTCTCAAACAGTTGTTTCAAAACTGAACAAATGACTGTGCATATCAAAGAGGTCAAAATTACAGCACTCTTGAACCTTAATTTATTCCCTTACCCCCATCAGTTATTACTAAGTCAGTTCTTCAGGTTTACTGAGTTTAGGTGCTGCCTTAAGTTTTTATACTAAGTATACTATGCATACCTGAGTACTCATCTTCAGATCCCTAGGCTTAAGTGAATTGGCTTGTTTTTATTCCAAGACAACTTGTAGGTTCCATGTGATATTTTTCTCTTTCCTGTATGGAAAGAAACAGAAAGTCACAAAATCCAGCTTTTATTGCTGCTTTTTGCTGCTGAATGAATGCATTGCAAAGGTAAGTAATGTAAATTAGTAGACTAGCTCTTGTTCTTTCTTCTGCACTGATCTTTCTGTAGCATACAGACTTTACTTTACTTCAGTGACTGCTTGATTTTCATAACTGTGGTTATTAAAAAGGACTTCTTTCCATTCCAGTCACAGTATATTTTCAATCAGGCTACTAAAGCTAACTGATGAGCCTCAGCCACGTGTTCTTGGAGTTACAGAGTAAGTGAATGCTTCACATGATTACCAGAATGTAAATATTTTGAAAAAGTTGATAAAGTTTAGGCGCACTAAGCTGGTGAACTTTTTCTTAATTAAAAAATTCTGAGAGATGAGAAGGAAATCAGAGCTCCACTGACCACATAAAACAGACTGGAAGCCTGACAGGGACAGGCATAGAAGTTTTCCCATCTATTAAGGTTTGGCTGGAGGAACCTGTTAAAACTGTGCCAGTAATAATACATAAATTGAAGGAAATATATATATGCTTTCTTATGTAATGGGGAGGTGGTGACAGAGTAGTACTATACAACACCTCACTAGTGTTCTGGTAAGCAGAATTCAAATAGCTAGCTGATAAAAGCTGATCTCTAAAGCTGGAGTGCAGCAGTTAGAGCTGAAGACCCAGAGTGCTAGCTATGCTGGTGTATCTTTCTACTTTGGGACCAGATTAGAGTTTATGGATTAAACATTTGCAACAACATATTTGATGTGCTCCTAGAATGCAAATTCAAGTGTTTAGTCTCAAAAGAATGCAGGCAACATGCTCTGAGGCTGCTCCATGGCACGATCAACAGTAAGTGGGAATCATCAAATGATTTGCTTAAAAAATGTTCTCCTAATCTAAAAAGCTAATGTAGGTGCACCCTGCGAGAGCAGTGGGAAGTCTTTAGACTTAGGTCACTTCCCCTAAATCACAAAGACTTAATCTTCTGGCTTGAAGCCATTTTGATAGGGTTTTTGGGGGGTGGTTTGGTTTATTTTTTTAAATTTTGATTATTTGTCCATTTAGCTTGATATGGAAAAATGAGGACAGATAGTAAAGTAATGTTTTAGTTCAGTCATAGCTCCTACTGATTTCTCTCTTGTGTCTGCTGAGCAGATATGGTAATAAATAGACCTCACTGTGAGATAACACCTTCAAATGTCAGATGTTATAGTGAAAAATACTCTTAAGAAAAGATAACTTGAGGAAATCACTGTATCTCTATTTTTTGCTCTTCCCTGTCTTAGTGTATTCCCCTGTCAAAGCTTGCAGCAGCTGTTAGGTGAATGGCAGAGTTTGTACATTGCTTAAGGAAGAAAAAAGCTTTTCATCTTGTACTGAAGAGGATCAAGAACATAAAGTTATAGCCTCTCACACAGTTGTAATATGTGCCTTAACAATATGTACAGTACTTAGTTGAGCTGTGTGAAAGGCTATTGTCTTACAAATGTGTTATTTTATTGGAATAATGTATGTATAAGTGAACACTGGTTCAGTCTCATAAGTCATACAACTTACAGAGCTTCCTTATTTCAAGGGCTTTCTTAATGTAATGTAAAAGTTATGAAATTCCATGGTTATCCAGGATAATTTTCCCTTTTCACCTATTGTGCCATGAGAGACAATTCAGTGACCTGAGTTTAGTAGCACAGAATCGCTGTAGCCAAGCAAAGATCTCCAAGGTGAGCTGGGAAGGATTTCTGGTCTATTGTTTGCAATAGAGGACAAATGGTTCTGTATGCAAAACAGGCAGACTGTAGTGCATTGAAGCCCACAGCTATCCTGCAATCCTCTCAGCAGTGAGCTAGTGAAGGTGACTGTCAAAGTGCCTCACCACGCAAAACTGTTGCAGAAATCCATCTGCTCTTGCCCAGAAGTACTTACTATAGGATTGCAACAAAATTTGGGTTTCCAAATTGAATTCCTTATGTAAGAATACCCACAACATTTTAGATGAATGCTACAAGCAGACTACTTTGAACAAGATTGCTGCTCTTAAGATAATCTACTCAGCACATTCAAAGACCTTTATATACATTGGGAAGATAGGTTAATGTTGCTATTCTGAATTGCCTAGTGCCTTCTGGGAAAAAACTCAACATTGAAGTACAACTTACTCTGTGATCACTCATTTGCAATTCAGACATACTGAGAAATAAGAAGATGTGATGTTTTATTTTCATGCTGTTTAGAAACAAGTTCATATGTGTGTTCTGGCTAACTCTTCCATGCAGGTTGTCTTTCTGTGACCTGGCTGGATCAGAGAGGTGTAATAAAACACATGTCTTTGGAGATAGACTAAAAGAAGCAGGAAATATTAATAATTCTCTTCATATCCTTGGAAAATGCATTGCAGCATTGCAACAAAATCAAAATCCAAAGTAAGTGACAAGCTGTAAACAAAATGCCAAGTTTCAGGTTGAAACCCTAAGTATCCCTTTATGTTTCTGCAAGCAGTTTGCACTGTCAGAGAAAAATGGAAATCTACAGAATCTTGTAAGCCTTCTTTATTGCAAATGTCACTGGGGTACCTGAAAAGAACATTATTTCTCCAAATCTGTTGTTTGTGGAGGACAAAAAAAAAGGCAATTTGCAGTGAACTAGCAAGGTTCTTTTAGTGTGTGTATGAGCAGTACATTTTGTGTACAGAGCTCCAGTTTTGTCCTCTTCCCTTTCACCTTCAAATTATACAGGTAGATTTATCAGTCAGCTGACAGATATGCTGTACTTAGCTTTTGGCCTGTTCCCCTGTCTGCTTGTAACACTAGGGAACTGTGATGTAGACACTGTACTACTTTTAAATAGTTCATTTTGTCAAAGAGCTTATGAGATCCAGGACAGACCTTGCTCTGTGATGTGAAATAGCTTATGCTTAAATATGAGCATCCTACTGGATCTCTTTCCTGAAAGAGAGGAACAGAATTAAGGTAAGCTTACAGTATCCCACAGGTTTACGATTTTTACTTTGTTTCACAATTTCATTATCTTTTTTTTTCTCCATGAGGATGAAGCCAAGCTATATTCCATTCAGAGAGAGCAAATTGACTCGTCTGTTTCAGCCATTTTTTTGTGGGAAAGGCAAAGCTTGTATGATTGTAAACATCAATCAGCATGCTTCTACGTATGATGAAACACTACATGTAATGAAATTTTCAGCTATAGCCAGACAGGTAAGAGGGCATCTACTTTTTCTGCTGTTCTGCATTGTTGGGTTTTTTGTTACTATTGATTTGTGAGGTGATCAGGTTGTATGGATTTGAATGTGATTTGGACTTCTGATGCATCATATTAATTCTGCATGTGGCTTCCCTCTAAAAGGCTTCTAGTAGTCTTGCCCATCCTCAAACCTATTGGTGCTAAGAAGTTAAGATAACTCTAGCTGTCTGTCTGTTCAGGTCTACACTGCTGATGTTCTGTGTATAAAGTGGTCAGGACACTTTCAGATGTGACTGATTGTACAATATATCTGTTGCACATGATGACGGTTGTTCACAACTTCTTAGACAGCTGGTGGTAGTAAAAGGTGAAGCCTCTTTCTTATTTTGTAGTCTAAACAAGATATTTTGCACTTGCATTGCTTCTATTTGGCTAAGTTCAAGTAATTTATAACAAAGCGGCTTGGCGAGCTCTTCTTCCAGACTCCTTGGCTCCCTTGGATGAATCCCACCTGACCCCATAGACTTGAATGTGCCTAAGTGCCATAGCAGGTTGCTGATCATTCCCCCTTTGATTATAGGGGCTTCATTCTGCTCCCTGTCTCTGCCTTCCAGCTCAGAGGGCTGGGTACCCTGAGGACAGACAGGTTGTACTGTTAAAGACTGAGGCAAAGAAGGCATCAAGTACCTCAGTCTTTTCCTCATCCTTTGTCACTATGTTTCTGTCTGCATCCAATAAAGGATGGAGATTATCCTTAGCCCTCATTTTATTGCTGATTTGTAAAAACATTTTTTGTGTGTCTTTCATGGCGGTAACCAGATTAAATTCTCATTGGGCTTTGGCCTTTCAATTTAGTTTTTTTTCCTGCATAACCTCATGACATCCTTGTAGTCCTCTTGAGCTACCTGCCCATTTTTTTTTTTCCCTCCCTGAATTTCAGCCAAAACCTTCTCTTCAGCCAAGCTAGTCTTTTCCTCCACTGGCTGATCTTTTGGCATGTGGGGACAGCTATCTAACATGCTTTTTCTGCTAGCTCTATTTTTAAGTCTCCTATTAAATTCATGTCTTGGGGTTGATGTTTGCCTTAACCTCATTCAGGGTCCCTGAAAGCTTCTGCTTCCAAGGAGTGGGATGGTGAGCTAGGCTGTATTTCATTGCAGAAATAGTAATTTTCAAGTTCGGAGCCATGGCTCAGTTCTGACATGTTCCAAGTCTGTAATAGCACATCTAATACTGTGTCAGGGAGGAAGATTTTTCTAATTCTCTTCAGATGCAACTTTCATTATAAATGTGCACTGTAGAGACAAACTTCTCTGATATGTTGCCCTATGACATAAGTTCTTCATCTTTATGTAACTAGCATGAATTGCTGAATCCTGGTCATGGTATTTCAGGAAGGAGCAAATGTTTTAGGGATTTTCTGCTTTTCATTAACTTTGCAGGAAACTACACTAAACCCCTTATATTTTAGGGACAGAGAAACCACCTTTCTAGGAAGCATGCTAAGTTTGCTAGATAATCTTTCCATTTTCACTTTTTTAGAGTACTGAAGTCTTATATTCATATTTATTTTTTTCCCTCCTAAAAGGCACGTAAAATTTTATTAATGTTCTTGTAATCACTAAATATTATATAAATACAACAATGCATTCATGCCACTTCTTCCTGGTATTCTGATATCTGCAAGAGTGATGGCATCGACAAATCATTGATAAATCGTCTCTGGATTTTCCAGGTTGTCCAGACAATCCTACCCAAAAATTGTGGTTATTTTTCCTCCAAGCTAGCTGGAGGTGATGGCAAACTGATCATGCACTTTGATGCTAACACATCTACAGATGACTTTCCTGACACTGCTGAAACTTCTGCAGAAGAGGAAGTGGATATCACCATTCTGAGTCATGAGGTAGATACATGTCTACTTAAAAACTGTACCCAAGAAAGCAACTGTTACTAGTTCTGATATTATAATCTTTTAGCATAAGAGTTGTGCTGGAAGCTGCATCAAATGGGAAGTTTAAGCTTCTGCTCAGAGTCAGACAGACCTAGACTTAGTGGCCTAGTTCAGTGTAGCTGTGGAAGGATGACTGTGGCTTTCTAGTTAGCTCAAGTGCTAAATTTGGAATTCAACCAATTGCTCAATGAGAAGGGTAAAGAAGCAGTATGTGTGTTTAAAATAACATTATTGAGTTGCTTGAGCTCTTTTAGGAACAGCAGAAAAAGATGCAGCACAAACAAAGCTATACAATCTAATATCAATAAACTGTAAAATTAAGTAGGCCTTATTAGCACTTAAATGCCAAAACAGTAGTGCAGTTTTTTGATAGCAGAAACCATCAAGATGGACAAAGGTTGTCCTTGCAGTAGAAATTCATGTTTGAAACTATTTAATCTTTGGTGCAGCCCCCCTGGAAACACAGGCTTATAAAAATGCCCTCTGTGGATGGCTGCCCTCTGTGAATGTTTTGTTTGACAGGCATATCAATATGTGTTTCTGGCTTGTTTTCTGAACTGAAATGTGTTAAATATATAGGACCTCTTGAAAACTACAGAGCAGCTAAAGGAGAGGCTAGTTGCAGAAAGGCAAAGTAAGCTGCTTCTGGAGGTGAAGATACGTAAAGAGATGGCAGAAGCAATGTTTCGACAGCTTCTGGAAACAGAGGAAGCCTGGAGGCAAGTCCTGTTGCAGTCTTCTTTGAGGCTGAAAGGATTCTGTATATATAAACACATACCTATATATGTATATGCATGACATGCATACTCATATAATTTAGAGAAGTTAGGGCTGGACAGCTTCAAAACCTCTGATGGAAAGGGAAGAAAGAACGTTAAACTTGTACAGATTGGCCTTTTCCCATGTACAATGAAAAAGTAATGCCACTTTCTGTTGAACTCGTGTTTAATTTGTAATTACTGGGACTTGTCCTGACTTGTCATGACTTTTTAGCAGACTTGGAAGATTGACAGGTACCCTACTGAGGTCTGTGATTGTTCCAAAACATACACTTGGTCATGTTATTATGCATGCATGTGCTTAAGGCAGTTTGAATTGTATCTCTTTTGAGCTCTTCTGCATGACTTAGGAACCATTTTTAGTTTACTATCTTAAAAATTGCTGTGACTGCCTGCACTGATGTTACTAATTTGGGGATCTTTTTTGAAAGTGTGTCCAGATTGTTCAAGCTGAATTCACTTCCTCTTAACTCTTGTCTTCTTGAAATCAGTTTCCTGCTCTTTGAATTGTTAACAGAGGCTAACAACAAGTTGCCAACTGAGCACACTATGGTTTAACACCTGCACTGACTTTAAAATTGTTTGGTTGCCTTTGGCCAAACACATGAAACAGAGCTGATGCATTTTCTCTGAGGTGATGTTCTGTGTCACTGATGGGGCATGTTTTTAAATTGTGACAGGAGTAATGTGTAATAGATTGAAATAATAAGGCAAAATTAATTTGGCATTTATCTTTAATGGAAAAAAAACCCAAACCTGAAGTGAAAGCTCCTCCCTGGAAACAGGCTTCAAATATCAGATCTAATTGGGTGTAGTCATTTCTATTGCTACATGTTGGTGGGGTTTTTTTTTTTAACTTTTTTGACAGACATTACGTGTGTGTTCTTCTATAGCAGTTTTTTGGTACATGCCAAGCAGAAGTTATGCTTTAGTGCAAGTCTGTAGTATCACTGAGATTAAAAAGGAGAAAAGTACTTCTTGGTCTCTCAACTTCACTATTTATTATTTGATGAGTAATTTTGATATTTTCAGTTTAATATATGTAGTCAAATTTAATAGCTGGAATGCTAACAAATGAAATAAAACTAATGTGTTGTCCTCAGCAACCGCTTGGAAGATATGAAAGACAGCTATGAAGAAAAACTGGAGAGCAAATTTGAAATGTATAAAGAGGCCATTAAGAAACATGCATATATGTGTGCAATGGAACAAATTGAAGACCATTATGTTCCCATAGAAGAATTTCTGGCTGAGCAAGAGAAGGTTGAGGTATGACTTCACTGCCACTAAAAAATATGTGCTAGCCTCTTAACTGTAAATTTTGCCTTTCCTTACAAAATAAGTCTGGAATTCTAAATGTAACACAACAGTAAAAATGACTATCAGTTCAGCCTCGCTGTTCTGGTGCCAGTGCTAACCACAAGAATAGAGTTGTCTTCTGTCTAACACTGCTTGGAATGCATACCTAAACGTCCTGATCTTTAAGGGCACAGCTCAATTAAATCCAAGTCATCTTTACTTCTGTAGTGCAACGATTGGAACAGCTAGATGAATGGTGTGAACAGCAGTCTGGCTGGGGAGCTACTTTGATTATAATGGATCTTTGCTCTGAAGGCCTAGAAGGGGGGGGGGATTGTGGGATAAGAAACTGATGTGAAATCAAACTTTATGCTGGAAGGAACTGAATCTCCTGAATTGTACTTCTACCTAGAACCGCTCAGAGTTGGCATCATAAAGTTGCTATTCCCTTTGCAACTGAGCCATGTTAGCTGTGTGCAACTCAGTCTTGTAACCTCTGTGTAGAAGGTTAAGTGTATCCAGGCAGCAGATGAGCCCTGTGGGCCTTGCTTTTTTTCCTGAAGGTCTGTAGTGGAAGAATAGAACAACTGTGGTGTGCACCAGAGGTGCTTTTTCACTGCGCTTTCCTGTCCTGGCACCGATAAGACATTGCACTCCATGGGCAGGCAGGTTCCTTTCAAGAAATGAGAAGTGGGTTTCTGTTGTAGATTGCGATACATAAATGTTTCTGCTTTTACAGATCTCTCTTCAGGTGCTGACAAGGAACACTGTATTATGTAATGGCCTCTGTTTTTCCAGCTCCTTTCCACTTGTCTCTTTTCCCCACTTAGACTCTGGTTTTATCTGGTTTAATCCCAGTTATACACCTTGTTGGGGTGGAGCTTTAGCAGAGCTGCCTGTATTCATAGCTGCTTTTTACACCAGTCAAAAGGGAAGATTCAAAGAAGAAATTTGATTTTGTTAGCAGGTCAGATATGAAACTGGTGAAATTTCTAAGATGTAAGAAGTCTTAGTTGACAAAGGAGAGCACAATGTGAAATCTGAGTCAGCAGCTTCAGAGACCAGAATGAGATGAATAACTTTTGATTGTGACACTTGTTTGAGATACCATCCTAGAAATCTGATAGGTACCAAAAAAGATTAAAATCTAGTTCTATGAAGTAGGTTCTTCCTTATTCAGCAAGCTAACTAGCAACAGTGTTTAACACAGATGCACTCAAGTTTCCTTTCTGCCATATGGTTACTTTTAATAGTTTGAAAATCTTCAGACCAGAAAAGTTGACTCCTGTGTAAAAGTTGACTCCTGTGTAAAGTAACTTCCTCCTAGAAGGTCTTGTGATCTGTTATTCCTTATTGTGATTTCCTAACCATAACCATCACACCTTCCACCTGTGAAATGATTTTAAAGTGGCATATGCATGTGCGGTGTAAATGAAGCATGTGCAGTAGTGCATCAGATCAAGCAGAAATGTAGACAAGTTCTACCTTGTACCTTTTTTTTTTTTTTTTTTTTTTTAGGATAGAGAGCGGAAAATATTGCAATTGGAAAGCCAACTTGATGAACAGTCGAGGAGGCTGTTGGCACTGGGAAGTCTAAATCCACATATCCCAGCTACTGGAAGTAACATGGAACTAGGTAGGAATCTAATCTGGATATTCAAAGTTCAATTAACTTTTGATAATGGGTATAAACAAGCAAACCTTTATTTTGTCTATAGATCTTACAGACAGGAGAATGAAGAGAACCAATGAAGGATTGCAGAAACAATGTGAAGAGAAAGAAGAGGTATCTCTTTCTTGCTTAATATTTAACAAATCTGGGCATAATGGGCATAAATTCTGTCATGATCCAATGCTTAAAAGATCTGCATTGTAGACAAAAGCATGAAGATTCCTGCAAATGGGCATCAAGTTTACAAAAATGGCTGTTGCCCAATTGTGGATGACTTTTGCCAGAGATTGGCTGTGTTCTGGCTTTAGTCTACATCTGCTACTGTAACAGCTCATGGTGAACGTGGTGTGAGTTGGCAGGAAGGAAGTATGTGGCCTTGTGTTGGAATTTATTGCAAATGTTCCTGCCATGGCCTCAGTGCTTTCCTTCCTGAAATGCTGCCTGCTCCTGCACAGGGGAGCAGTTACAGAGTCTGCTAAGAGTTTCGATCTAGAGTCAAAATAGTGCTTTAAACTAATACTTTCTTGTAAGTGGTGTACTCTGCTGTGCCCTTAAACTTTAGTAAAGGGTAATGTCTCTCTTCTTCAAACAAGATCCCTGTATTCTGAATAGCATGTAGAGGCAGGAACTATGAGCTTCAGGCTGGGTTATGGAAAACAAATATTAATTTTTTTTAGATACAGACTAAAAATGCATATCTAAAGTGAACTTCTTGTAATACTACAGTTAGTTTCCCGTGTTTGAAGAAGATGGGGAGGAGGGAAGAGGCAAGCCTTGCTCCTTTCACTAAAACCAAATAGGAGTAAGATTTGGAGAAAATGTTCCAGCTGGTTCTAATAAACCATGTAAACAGAAAGTGAACTTAAATCCCTTTCTATTGAGAGAGTGTACTCCAAAAGCAACTTTTTCCTTATCGAGTTTAATGTCTCATGTTATGGCCCTGGCATTTTTCCATTCCTGTTCTTGAGAGCTTTACATCATTTGCCTGTCATTTTCAAGTCTGGCTTTTATGCTTGATATAGGTATACAGTTATTGATTGTTTTGTGTGACTAGAAAGTGTTTCAAACACTTTCTAGCCACACAAAACAATTTGAAGTGAGAACAGTTTGAAACAGTTGGTTCTGTCAATGCCCTTCTGCTGCTTTGTCTCACAGATCAGTGCATCTCTGAGTAATTAGTCACTTCTTTCTTCCCATTGAGCCATTAAACATGGGCAAAGGGTTTGTATTTTTGTAGCAATTTAGATATTTTCCTTCCAACCTTGTAGAAGTAATGATATAGCACTAAATTTGCTGGTTCAGAGTTTCTTTTGCCTCTCATGACTTAATCCATTAACATTCTCCTCAGAACGGTGAGGTCTTCTGTGGTGACTGTGCTCCAATTCTTTATATGAATAGTGTTAATGAGACAAAAGTGTTTTTTTTAATTACCCTTATTGAAATGGAGCAGGCTGTTGCAGAAGTAGCTTAGCCTGTGCTGCTGTTCTTTTATAGGTCTGTGTAAATCTAGTAGCTTCAGCCTTTGAACGCTCCAGCTGTATTTTCCCACTTGAAATGATGGGTTGGGACATAGGAGGTTGGGCGAAGCAGACTTCATCTTCATTGTTTTGATCTTGCAGTTTGCACTGTTCTAGTCATAAACAAAGTTAATGTAAAACATGTCTTAACTTCAGCACGCATGTGCTTTCTTTTCAGCTTATAAAATCTCTGAAGCTTAAAATACAGAAATTAAATGAAACCCTGATAGAAGCTAATGAAGGCTACAGAAAAATGTCAGAAGAAAACAGTCAGCTGAAGCACACAATCATGCTCAAGGTTGGTCAACAATTTAAAAACAACTTTATTGTGGATTATATCTCTAGTTGTACTGGATGTTTCTGCATCTTTATACATGTAAAATCACTGTTCAGATTAACAATTTGTTTTGATGTTAGCACTTATGTCTCTAACTTCCTGAATTCTGAGTTTGGAGCCCTTGTGTTTCACTCCTTGACTGTGAATCTTGTAAGACAAGACTCATTTTTCAGTTTAAGCAATAGACTCAGTCTATAGGCTAGTTCTGTGCTGACAAATCTTGCTCATCTAAAGATGCCACGAACTATCGTCAAGCAAAGAAAATAGTCCTTAGAACTCTGGTCATGAAGCTTGTTGCCAAGGCAAGCAAGGTGTCAGTGCACAAACGTTGGTGTGACAAGGCCTGAGGGTCTATAGCTTCAAAGCTATACTGACAGTCCTGTCAGTGGTGCCCAAGCTGGATAAGAGATATGGCAGGTGAAGTGTTTAATACTGAAATAGGAGGCTTTCCTTCGAAAGCAGGCACTTCCTAAAGTTGCCAGCATCTGACCTCAACTAGATTCCTAAACAAAAAAATGAAATTTTCAAACTCTTGACACTGTGCATCTATACCTCACTGGTAATCTGCAAATGAAGTAAGGCAGGTATTAAGACCTCTTAGTGATGAACGTTTGAACATTAAAACATCCTGTGAACATCAAATTACTTTCTGCATGCTTTTTAGTCTAAGTCAGAGACTGAAAATTCTTTGTCTTCAATTTTGTTTCTTAATTGGTTCTAAGACATAGGAAGGTGACTTGTTGTTAACCACAGAGATTAGAGAGCATACTGAACACTGTATGCTGCCCACTCAAAGCATTTGTTCAGTCCTGGTTAGCAGACTTATGACTACACAAGTTTTGATTTGACCAGTTTGCTTTCAGAAATTGCAAGTTAAGACAGGGCAGCCACCTTTATTTGGTTCCTAGAACATCAGTTCCTTGCATAGTGTGGTTAAGTGTTTTAGCATCAGCTTCTTAGACTCTGTGTTTAGCTAGATTGAATGGCCTTGTAGTGTGCTGGTTTTTTAATCACCTTTATGTAATTTAGGGCAGATGAGTACTGAATAGCCATTTGGCACAGTAATGACAAGGGTGCTTAGTGAAAGGGTATATAGTAAAATAATCTAAACCAGTAAATTAAGTACATGAGAGACCTTAGAGTGTTCACATACCTAACACAGCCTTATTCTCATAGGATCAAGAAATGACTGGTCTTCAGAACTGGGCTAAACGTGTTCTTGAGCTTGAAGAAACAGTGTCTTCCCTGCAAAGAGAACTTGACAAACGGAAAAAGCATTTCTCTGTAGAGGAGTCAAAACAACAGAAACCCAGGAGAGGTTTGCTGGCTAATCTGAAATCCACAGTAGCAGCCACTGCTAGTACTCCTCTTGGGAAAGGCTGGGGGAAGCATGAAGAGGCTTCACCCTATTCAAAAAGGCAAGTACTGTTGCCTCACAAAGCAAAAGAATAACATTTGGTGAATCAAAGTGTGCAATTACTGGACTTCTTTATCAGTCTTAAACTGTTGGTAGCTCTTTCTCACTCTTAGATGCCACCTTCACTGTCATGTTAACTGACAGAAAAAGATTTAATACAAAACTTTTAAAATTAAATCTGGTTTGAATTTAGAGCTAAGTAAGTTCAGGTCTAAACTTGTGCTCTTACTGTTGATAAGGGGATGTAATTTGAGAAAAATACATATTTTAATTCTTGAGGAACTACTATCATGGTCTTCTCTACTGATAAATGTGTGATTCCTGCAGTGTGGGATGTCCCTCATCTGCTGCTTGTTCTGTTTTTAAGTTATTGGATTTCATTATTGATTCCTAGAAATCAGGTGGCATTAAAGCTTAATCTCAAGGGAGTTGAAATAGCTTGGTTCTTCAGTTGGCATTCCAGCTTTGACTGGGAGGCTGCCTTTGTGAGACCAAACTGCTAAAAGAGGCAATAAGATGAGACCTTATCTGCCTCCTTGCTATTTTTCAGCTAACTTGGGTTTGTAAAGAGACTTGTTTTAATATAATTTGAATATGCATTACGCTTTGAAAAATCTATAATAAAATTTTCCCTTGCTAAATTAAGGTCTGACTGTTCATTTTATAAATCAGTGAAATCAAGACAAGGAAAGATCATAGTGATTGATACAGGATGATCTTAAGTTGAAAGAATCATAGCTCTGATTATATTACTTAGCTTTATCTCATAACTTAAGGATGGAAGACTGGAGCAAGACAAAATTTGAAATAGATTATTTTAGAGCCATTTCAGTCAGTGAGGGTGAGGTTTTTTTCTAACTACTGTAAAAGTGCCATGCCTGTAAGTGCTGGAGGTTTGCTGTAGAATCCATAATTAAGTTGGATTTATTTGTCCCTGTAATGGTTTTTCTCATAGTGGAAGGGCACCAAGTTCAGAGCAAGGATTTCACCCTCCCTGGGGAGACGCTAGGTGGTGCAGCCTCCTTGTGTGACACTGAGGACAGCCCTTCTCTGATGTGACTCTTCTTGCCAGGACGTTAAGAGTTTAAGGTTGGGGCTGTGCAGATACTGGGATCAGTAATCACTCTGACGTCTCTTTAACCAGGCTTCAGCCACTGCTTTTCTCATGTTCTGAATTGTTTCTGTTAAATACAAGGTTATCTGGCTCCAGCAGCTCTAAATGCCTATAATCTCTGCAAGGTAAATTTCTAAAATATTATTTTACTCCCACACAAACTATTCCAGCTATTAAAAAACATTTTGGTGTATTTATGAGACCCTGAGTGGCAATCCCTTGAATGGGGAAGCTGTTACGTACAAATTGCTTTAGGAACAGCAATATTGAAACAAGTTTAAAAAAATATCATCAGAACAGGCTACTACTGGAAACTTTCCATAATGCCATTTCAAACTGTCTAATGCTACACCTTGGCGTTCTGTCACTTGTGTCTTAGAGTGGATGTTAGCAAGTTTGTGTAACACAAACTAGAACCTCTTACTCCCTGAGCAATAGCTCTATGTTCCCTCCTACTTCCCAGAGCTCTTTGGCTGGCTACAGGAAATGAATTGAAAGACAAAGTTACATTGTCTTAAGCTTTATTTTTCCCCCTCTTAAATGAAAATGAAGCCTGTAGTGAACTGACCAGAACTTACTTAACTGCAATAGTTTCCAAAGAGTTGCTAAAGGACCGTGCTGCTATTACCTTAAAGGCTTTTGAGAAGCTGTTTTAAAGGACAGCAGAGGACTGGACTTCCTCTCTTCATGCCCTCCAGGTCAAAAAGAGACCACAAAAAGGATATAGAAATGGTTGTTTTGTACCTCTTCAGCTTCTCAAAGCTGAATGGGTGTAAGGAAAGCCGAATCCATTAATCTTGCTAGTGGTGATGAACAGATGTTCCCCTGTCTCACATGAAGCTGCCACTCTGGACAGAACATCAGCCATTTGTTATATCTCAAATTACTACCATACAACTTGCTTCAGATTAAGTGTTTATTAAAATTAAAAATCACCATACAATAGAAACTATTTACATATTTAACTGATAGTCTGCTTAAACTGCACAGTTTGAAGGAAGCCAATGGAAAAGAAAAGCATTGAATATTTCTGCTGCTGAACTTGAACTGCAAGCACACTGAAGCTTTATTAGAAAGGTTTTAAGCTTCTGCAACGTACCCTTTGCCTAAATAATTGGGCTGAAAGGTGGCAAAGATGAGTACTGGGTTTCAGTTGTAAGAACCAGTGTCACTTTGGGAAAAAAATCTATGCTGTGGTTACACTGCAATTGCACTAGCTCATCTGTTTTGGTAAGTAATTTGAGAGAACAGTTCAACAGATAGAGCTTAGCAAAATTGCATTCACTTTAAGAATTAGATTTGTATACTGAGCAACAAACTATAGTGTCACTGCAATGTAACTTGATATCCTATTGCATATTTCCACAACTGGGTTTTGATAGTGCTAGAGCTAGTTTTAGCTTTAAAACAGATTTGAGGTTAGTCAATTAAAGCAGCAAAAATATAAGGACTATTCTTGAATAATCACAGAGGATTAAAAATTAAGATTCAAATATTTTCACTGGTAACAGTCTCAGCAACTGCGATGAAAGTATTAACTTCCTTCAAAATCCTGTGCTTTCCCATGGACTTCAGATGATGGCTTTGGCCTTGTGGGAAGCTGAAGGTTGAACACAGAGTAGGTATGCTGCCACTTCTGCTGTCATGTGTGTTCATCTTGCACTTCTGCACCTATGATGGCTGTGTGATGCTTCGAAAACAATTTCAAATTTAGTATGAGTAATACAGCAGTAGAACAGAACTGTTTTCAGTGTAAAGAATTACACACAATTCTTCCTCAAAGGAAACCTTGACACTGCTTAGGAAAGTCTTACAAGAGGTGACAGTATGCCAGATACTATGTGAAACAACAAGGATATAAAAATAATTTTCATAATATGCTGTATTTCAAAAAAAGATGATTTAAAAACATCACCATGTCTTAAATCCGAAAGATCTCCTTCATGACTTTTTCCTTTGAAAAGAGCTGTTCATGCATCCTCTCACCCCTTTTATAAAGACCTTGTATTGCATGACTGACTTAGATTCTAAGAAGGCACTGTCATGCTGTACCAGGGTATGATTGCTTTCCTTCATTCCTTCTCCCTCCTCACCCCAAAAAACCTGTTTGCTCTGGGATGTTTCTACAGATGCAAAACACAGAGCATTTAAGGAGAACTTCAAGCTTTAGAGGAACTGTTTAACCAAATAAAAGCATATTTCTCTGTAGAATTACTCTTTCCTTCAGCGTTTCAGCTTCCACACTCAGTTAAGACATCCAAACTCATGAAGCAACTGGTTTGAGCAGTCTGTCCAAATGATAGTCTGTGCCAATGATCCATGTCAATAGAAAAAGTGTTCTTTGTTCTATGGCTGTTGTTGGTATTGCCCTTCTGTTGCTGTGTAGAAGTCATCAAGCACGCTCTGTAGATAATCAAACGTTGGCCTCTCTTCTGCTTTGTCTTTCCAGCATGTTTTCATGATATCATAAAGCTCAGCTGGACAGGTTTCCATGCGTGGCATTCTGTACCCACGCTGAAGAGCAACCATCACATCTGAATTGCTCATCCCTTCAACAAAAAAAAAAGAAGAAAGATTTGATGAAATTATCTCAATTCCTAGATAAATGACTTTTTAAAATTTAGTTCACTCTAAAGATGTTCTTCAAATAATATAAGAAGGCTATTGCTGCTTAGTAAAGGTGGCTACTACCATGAGCTCAATAAACAAGGCCAAGGTGTGCACCAGCAATGCTCTGAAAATCCTGGGGGGAAGATTTCCATTTCTTCAGTTGAGTGTCACAACCTCTTTAGTGCCAAGTCTAACAAGGCTATGGCAGAAGTCATCATTCTTGCCTCCAGAAGAATCTCTGTTCTGTCATCCTGAGCAGTCCTGCCACTGCTTCCAGCAGCAGTGAGACTCACAGCAAACACTCACCCTGGCATCAGCCTTTGGCTGCAGCTGCAGTGTCTAACCTGCTTGCTGTAGACTCCATCCACACTGAGAGGGAGAGTAGCCTACCTGTTTGACCATGCTGCCAGTCACCCTGCCCAATGCTTTCACATTTTCTTCCACATTAGCTTTTGTGTAAGTGCTGCTGATTGCAAGATGCTGGACAGTCACTCATGAAATCATTAATTGTAACACGCAATTTCCCCTCCCTTCTTCCTCATCCTATTCCTATCGTGCAAAACCATCTTGCCAGCTGTGCCGAGCTTTGCTTTGTTTCCCTCTTTTGGTTTTCTTTTAGAGGATATGGACTGGTACTACCAGAAGTGCATCCTGAGTCTCACATGCCAACTAAGATCATGTGAGAGAGTCCTGCCCTGGCCTGCATCATCATCGTCTCTTCTTTTATTTCCCCACACCCTTCCCCCACTTTATCAAATCCTTGAGAGATCTGTTCACAGAACGATTTCAACACATACTCCCAGAAGGTCAGCTATGCTGGGGCCAACAAAAAGGCTCACCACTTCCTACCCAGAAACCTGCCTTTCAGTTTGACTCTTCCTCTGCAAATCTTATGCAACCCAGTGGAGTAATGGTGCCAGGATTATCTTCTCTGAGACACACTCTTATGTTTTCCATACTCAGTGAATGCTGTTTGTTCCCAATGACTGGGCATGCAGGAAGCACCTGTGCTTCAGCCTAGGCATTTGCTACCACCAGTGAAGACTTTCTCTTTTGGAAGACCCACTGGCCACTCCTCAGACTGAATGCTTCACATGGCACAGTTCTGCCCAAGACTACAGTTTCTCATGGTTTTCTCAGGCAGCTCAGCCTCTGGTCAGGTGGTGGGTCCTGCTCTGAGCAAGGTCAGCAGTGGAGATGCAGACATGGTGCTCTCCCAAGTACTTGGTGACTGCAGCTCTGCTGCTGCAGACTGTGCAGATCTTTGTACACATTATCTGACTGCTATGGCTGTGATTTCAGTTACTTGGCAAGTAAGAATACATTTGAATTACAACCAAATGACAACTTTATCCAGTATAATTACTTGGATTATTCAAGATAACCATAGTTCATACAGTTGACTTCAGCTCAAGCCTTTTAGCTTTAACCTATTCCAGAAATACCATCAGCCATGTAATAATCTGAGTTCGGATCAAAGTGCTTACTTTGGGCACACCCTTTGTAGTTTTGGTTCCTCTTTGGAAGGAGGAGGGAAGTTTTCCTGAGCTAATACTGCACACATGCAGAAAAGAAGTATTTTGAAGTTAGCAGTGAAGTGGCATGTTGTCACAGAATAAGAAATCACTGCTATATAGAGACAAATGACAGGAGGAAAGTCAACCAAACATTTAATAGAGAACAGTGAGACTACTTGAGCTTAAAGAAATGTATTGCATATAATATATGCAGGAAAATACTAATTCATACTATGCAAAGTCTTATCAACTCTGTGCTGCCACATGAGGGCTGCTGCTGCTGGGCTATTGTGCAGAATGGGGCTGATTCTGTGGGTTTAAGTACTTTATAGGGTTGTGCTTAGATCGAGTGTCTGCAGGACTGATTGTTACATGCTGAATGCTAAGGACAAAGCTTGTGTTTCAGCTGCTCTGCAGGAAAACTATGTGTTAAATAACCATCTAAGTTCAGAAGCCAAAAATGAAAATACTTTTATCGGTATTCCATAGTAAATACATCATGTACATACATGCACATGTTTGGGGTCTTATTTGAAAGAAAAAGGCTTATCCACAGTCCAAGCATATTACCTGTCTCAGTACAAGAAATATATCCCCCACACGTATTTGTTACACTTACACCTTCTTGAATGCTAGCAAAGGACATGAGCTGTTAAGTTTTGGCACACATCTGTTAATTTATGCTGTGGTACCTGTTAGGTTTCACAGATAAAGACATAATTCCTTACGTTAGAGCATGGGAAATGATGTGAACACAGTGGTGTGGAGGAAGAATCCCACTGTACAGAAAGGGGAGCAGCAGGCATAATTGGAATGCAAGTATGGATGTTGCCAGTATTTGACTTACTACAGAATCACCTGGAAATTAGTTTTGACAACCAATTTGACTTATTTGCCAAGAGAATCAGATACTTGTTTCATGTTTCAGAGGTAGTTCCTGAAACTATAGTGCCACTAATTGCTTTGAGTTTCTCAGGAAGAGAAACAGTTGTTGAAATTTAAGAATGAAGATCACAAAACCTCCCAGTTTCTTAGCTGGAAATGCTTCCTACCAAGTTGCCACCTAGATTTTCCTCACAGGTATTAACTACTTGCCAGTCTCAACTCAGACTATTTCATATTCAGCTTCATGTTGAATACTTTCTAGTTGCTAGAGCTGATTAATAATTGAAAACAATGTTTTAAAGCATTCCCATTAGAACTGAAAAATCAGTTTACTGGTTCTCTCCAGTGGCTGCTGGGTTACAACCTATCAGCAGGTTATTACTGCCATGCTGGAGTAATTTGCCCAAATCTGTCACATCTCAGTGTAAATTGATCACCCATTTATTTTGCTGTCCTTCTGATTCTCAGTATCAACTTCCAGTCTAACAGCCTATTTCAATTTATACTTCTATTTAAAATAGACATATATCCATCTCCCATTTTCATGCAAGCAATACCTGCAAACTGTTAAAATATTCCAGTATGCAGCCAAAAGGCTTCTGCTTCTAATTGCTGGTTGAATTCACAGTGCATGGCCTGCTTATGGTGCTCATAAAAATGCTGCCATTTTGACAAAAAATATTGCCCAGACTTCCCCTGGAAAAGATTATTTCCCACAGTAGTACCACAGTGCTATATCCGCTGTCAAGATTGACTTTGTTCTTAAAATAAAAACATGATACAGTTTTATGGAGGTTAAAAGAGAACAAACTTAGCTGCAGAACTAAGTACTGGATTGGATTTTGTATTTTCATAATGTTGGTTTCCAGGTGAGCTTGCAGGTTTGCTCAGGGAAGGACAATTTTCAAGGCATCCAGAAATAACCTTGTGAGCCCAGTTCAGCATGGGTAACTGTCTGGATACACAGACATGTGCTAATGGGGAGAAAAAGGTCTCCTGACTGTGGGAAGAAACATGCATTACTGGGCTGCATACAACTCCCATCTGATCCTTCCTGGGGATATGAGCAGTGTTTACAATACCTTTGGCAGGACCTGCTACTCAGTCACATATTTTATAGACCCTACCTAAAAAACAACCCAGAACATATGTTTAAATACTTAGCTGTGCAAGCAGCCCTACCACCTCTTGAAGTTTAAGGGTGCTAGTCTTGAGCTTAAGTGTTTTCTCAGACTGGAACGTTGTTGAGAAATGTGAATGTCTGGATTGGCTCTACCTCTTGTATGAACAGTTGATATGTTCTTCCACAACATGGTGTGAAGTTGGCTGCCTGAGTCTCTCGGGAGATCCAGGCTCCCTGTGCCCAGAGGTGTTAGGCCTACTGTCATTTCAGGGACTTGGGTCTGCCCCTTGGCCATCTCTGGCAGAGATCTCTCCAGGTGCTTGTGAAGTGGTTTACACTGTTTAAACAGCAATAGCTACTGCACTGGAAGTGTTGGGAAAGCTTTGCTTGGATGAAATATCTGTTCTCCCTTTACTGTCAGGATCCTAAGGGTTCTTCCCAGAACTTACTCCATCTATGAGATGTGCCGTACAGGTGAACATAGCTGTACTTTCGCCGTTTGTCCACAGCGGAAGAGAATTTTGGTCAGTTTTCCATAACCTCAGTAAGATTAAATGAATGCAATATGCTGCCCAGAATTAATCATCTATGCCTGAGATCTAACAATTTTGTATGCATAAAAATACCCTTCATACAAGCTGTCTCTGTGTGCTGGAAATATTAATATAGATTTTGTTTAACAATGAAGCACATAACCATCTCACAGCTTGACATGTACACCTCTGTGGTCTTGTACCTGAACTGTATGGAACCACAAAAAGTCTGTTGCCTAAAATTTACCCCTGAGAGGCATTTGGTTTGCATGTATAGTGACTACGTTCTCAAAGCAGTAGGATTACCTGTAAACATTTCTCAAAACATTGGTGTCACTATTGACAGCTCTTTCAAAAAAAAAAATACCAAAGTATAAATACAGAGTAACGGTATAAACACAGGCCCATACCTGGATAAGGGATTTTTCCATAGGTAACAATTTCATACAGGAGAATCCCAAATGACCACACATCAGATTTAATAGTGAAAGATCCATAGTTAATTGCCTCTGGTGCTGTCCATTTAATAGGGAATTTTGCACCTAAAAAAAAAAAGTACAGTCTCAAAACAGTAAAAGACAAATTTAAACACTCAATATCAAGTCACTCAGATGTCTTACATGACTTGCTTATGATAGCCCTAAGTTAGCAAAATACCAACAACTCCTTCTGTGCAAGAACTGCCAGCAGAGATGTGCTGCAGGATGCATGTTGCCACACTGCATATTCTGGGGCAGAGGGACAAATCAGATGCTGAAAGTTACATATCAACTTCTGACTCCTAGGTATGGTGAATTTTTGCTAAAATTATAATCACTGCTTTCCCTTCTCTTCCCTTCTGCCCGGTGACAACAATCTTAAAATTCCAATCATCTAGAACTTCACAAGACTTACGCTAACTTCTCCTATTTTAAAGGAAGTCAGTCTGGCTTCAACATGCACTTTAATGCATGTCACATTCAGCCATAGATGCAAAAGCAAGGCATATCTTGAAAAGTCATATCTCAAGTTACTGACTTTCATGTCTAACGAACTGGTTCCAGAAATTGCCATATAAAAATCAAACTCCTTTCAGTTAAATCAAAACTTCAGGCAGACTTTGTTGGGAATATTACATTAGTTCTTTTGACAAAGAGGAGATTTTCCTTATGCCCTTTTTAGCCTGCTCTGTCTGGCACAAAATACCAGGTAAGCCAGGAAATTTTTTTGAATGGCAGAAAACACATCAAAGAAACTCAACATAAAAAATTTATAACCTGAAAGGTTAATTTAATGAATATACAATGTCCAGAGCTAGCTAAAAAACACAGATATGTACCATCTGTACCTCTGAAACCTGCTTAATCAGAACCTTCCCTCTGATCTATTGAATTACTGTAACTCAGTGACTGCTGAATAACTCATCTTCCTTTAATCTCGACGGTAGTGCATTGTTCTCTTTCTTCCTCATACCTTAGTTCTTACCCTCTCATCCTACATGATGAGTTTACATCCAGACTGTGTGAAAACCTGAGGTAGTGTCTTTAAAAGGAGAAGAGGAAAGTCAGCCAACAAACCTGCTACGAAAAGTTACCCTAATGCAATTTGTGCATGGAAGTATAAATAAAAACTTACCACTGCAGTGAATTGATTAATCACTTCTCGAAAGGATCCTTGACAACATTAACAAAACACACATGCCAAAACCCAGACATGCATCTTTAACAGTATGGTTTTTTCCCTCTTGCTAGTCCTGACCCTGCTGCATTGTTACCTTCCATCCGTGTGCTGAACAGGAACATGATCCACCCTTCCAGTGTCCCTACACATAGCAGCAATGCTGCTGAACATGCAAATCAATGCTGCAGCAACTAAAGCAGCTTCAAAAGGTAATCAGTTCTGCTAAAGCTTTTCTTGTTACCAGCAACTGCACTTGCTAGGGCTCTTCCTTTCCTTAAGTGAGAAGAGGTACATATGGCACTTCAGGATGTGAAGTGAATATAGGATCATATTTTCTTGGCATTTAATTCAGTGGGATGGAAGTTGTGGCTGTGCAGTTAATTTGTTCAATTTAGGAAAAAATATTGTGTGCAGTTAAGTACTCCCAGTTTTGTTTGTTTATCAAATCTATTTAAAATGAACTTGTCAAAAAGCCTGGGGAGCATGGAAAGGTTATTTGTTTCCTTATTCTCTTTAGAAGCTATTGGCATTGGAATGCTGCTTCTAGGAAGTTGTTACAGCACTTTCTGCCCTTGGAGACCATATTATTGTTAGATACAGCCTCGCTGCCTCCCAGAGGCTGAAGTTTAAAAGACAAAAATAAAAATACATACCTTCCCTTGCTGTGTATTCATTGTCTTCTATGACTCTCGCTAGTCCAAAATCAGCAATTTTGCACATCAGTAAGTTGGAAACCAGAACATTGGCTGCTCTCAAATCTCGATGGATATAATTTTTTCTTTCTATGTATGCCATCCCTTCTGCAATCTGTAAGCAAAAAACCCAACTGCTTTGTTATTTCAATACCAGACAAGTCCATTAGCAGCTCTGATCTCTCTGTTCTTCCAAGGTGTCAGCAAAGCTGCATCCATTTATTCATTGTTAGTATCTTTGGAGCATTTTTTGGATGAAAGCAAGGAAAGGGGGATTGCCATGGAAAACCTATGTGCAGATCCAGTCCTGCAAAGCTGTGCTTACAGTAGCAGCTCTGAAGTAATTGTTTGCGTGACTAACAGCTGGCAGGATTAAATACATGTAAGAGAGACATTTCCTGAAACAAAATCTTAATTAAAATGTTCCTCGGATTTCTACTAAAATATTCTCTTCCCCAGATTATTAACCAGTCTATTTTCTAAATAGGAAGGAATTAATAAGTCAAACAAGATGCAGATGTTCTTTTAGGGCTGATGAAGCAACAGTGCAGAGAGAGTTGAAAAAACCAAACAACTTTCTATTTACCCAGTATAGGCCTGCAGAGTCAGGAAACAATTACTAAGATAGGGCAAACAACTTGATCACTGTTTTCTTCTAAAACAACATGTACCTGCTCATACATGAGGAGTGTTTGGCAACAGCCAGCTCTCTGATACTATCTTAAGGAAACATAATTTGTACTTCAGCAGCCCAAATTGATTTCCAAATCAAATTAAAGATGATTAATGCCCTCAAAATATGCACAGGGGACGATTTTTTCAGTATGTGCTCTAACTACATTTTTTTCTCCCTGAAGAAAAACATTCTACTTTTCGGAAAAGAAAAAAAAGAAGAAACTGAAATGATAGTTTAGACCAATAAAATTGATGTGTAGACTGTATTCTGTCCAAAAGTTTAAGAGGAGTTAAGAAAATAGGAAAATAAACCCTGTGCTTGTGAGCTGTCAGTTTTTATCCTTCTTCTGAGACTTGTGATGAGTGATTCCCTAGGAAGGGCCACAGTCCAACCTGTGCCACAGGTACCTCTCTGGGATGTCTGTGAGTGGGTGACAGGCACTTGCTCTTGTCCAAATGGTTTGGGGAAAGCATAAGCTCTCAGATTTGCCAATGAAGCAGCAGCACAGCAGTGCGAGTCCTTTGCTAGTGCCAGTACCAGCACCCTCTCCACCTCAGAAGCTCTTTCCTCTCCACCTCAGGATAAGACAAGTGGATCCCTTCTCAGAACCAGAGGTGCTCATTTCAGCTGTGCAGTAAAGCAGGCAGGAGCAGCTGACCAAACTTTAAGAAAACATGAACATTACTTCTGCTTATCCGTTTTTAAAAAGTCCCCAAGGGGTACTGCAAAGGCACACACTGCCACCACTTACAGCACAAAACCACACAGTCTTTGTTCCTCTTTTTTGGTTTAAGCAGTGGAAAAATAGAGCTGCTTGCCCTCCCACCTCCTTCCACTGCAAACCTCTTCTTACAAACCGACATATTCTTCAGAGCAGTGTGGCACTGCCCTTGTACAATGCGGGGAGGGTTCGTACACTAAACCAGAAAGAAACTCTGGGGATGAAGAGAATGAAGAACACCTGTATTTCTCATTTTCTAGAAATAAGTAAGACATTTTATAATGAAGGAAGCAGCTCCTAGTGAATAATTGCCACAAAGAGTCTTACTGGAGACTTACAGACACAATAGAAAAGCAGAATCTGCTCTGCGTCTCTCTCCTCTCCATGCCATTATTTGGGTTTGAGGAGGAAGGAGAGATGAAAGGGAAGGTCTTGCTGTAAGATCAATGCTGAGGTTGGACTAACCAGCTTGGCAGATACACCCAAAATGCAGATAGGCCTGCTAATGTCACCAAAAATTCATCAAACATCACAGAGGACTCAACTTTCCTCTCTCTTCCTTGCACAGATTTAACATTTGAGCAAACTGCTGGCTAGGAAATGAAGAACAACTTCATAGAAGAGACATTCATGATGGTGATATTTAGTTTCCAAGTCCAACCAAGAAAAGCCATTGGAAAGACCATTTTCTTTCCTCTTACATGTGCCAGATTCACTGAAGTCATCATCTGATTAGTCACGAATCAAGAATGTGACATCAAATGAGCCATTATGTTTTCAGCAAATACAAACTACATTTCTGTGAAATTCCAATACAATGGTTTTGACTACATTGAATCAGAAAAATTCAGAGAAGCCACATATATGCAAGTATTTGGGCATGCAAGAAATTCCAAAGTAGGAAAAGAATAATGGACAAGGAATTTTGAATGGGAGAAGGAGAGGGAACATAGCAACTGGACAACTGAATTCACACATCAGGTCACTTTAAATCTTTGCCTGTGGGGAAAGAAGAAAGAAAGAAAAGACTTTTTGATCACGGAAATGGGTGCCAGAGCCCATGTGATAACTTCTAATGATAATTATTGGGTTTTCATTGCCAAATGATATGTTAATGGTAGAGAAATTCAGATGAACAAAAGAAAATTAAAGCCTTCTTCCCTCTCTTTTAATGATCATTGGTACCTGTCAAGACTGTTCGGCTACATGCAACTACTACACAGGAGCAGGATGGGAAAGCTAATTTGGGCTTCAGGAGTATGTTTTGTGGCCTTTAAGAGAGGATTCTGCCTACACTGCACAAACATTACTACCAAGAAGGGAGCAGTTCCCCTTTAATGAACTCCCAGACACGTTTCTAGAAATACCCAAATTAAATCCTTCTATAAACAACCAGCTAATAAATCTCTACATACTAGGAACTATACACCCAGGGTAAATATGGAAGAAAAGTCTTCTGGGAGAAATAAATCACTCCACAAGACGACCTCTGTAACTGTAAAGCTTCAGCTAGAAGTCACAGTGGGTGTGGGACAGTGTCTTCTGAGCTGCTCTCAGCTGCCCACCTGGGCTGCTCAGGCCCACGGCTTGGCGGGATGCTCCTGCCAAAGCAGATAAAACAGCCCAAAAACCAGACTGGAAATGTGTGCAAAACATTTAGGGTGGAAAAGAGCATCCTGCTGGTGCCTTTTAAGCAGAGGAAATAATGGAGCATATCCTGAGTTTCACCCTGCCCTAAATTTGGTAGTTCACTCTGTTTCTACAGAGAAGCCTCACTAAAAACAGTCTGCAGTTTTCAAAGGTTTGAAACAGGCCTGTGTTATTGACCTGGACAGGTCTTTGTTCTGGGATTAACCAAAACTCTGATAATGTCCAGATGCATAATATAAAATAAATAAAAATAAAGCAAAATAAACCAAACCAAAATACACTTTTTAATCACAGAGTTTTCAAAACAGAGTTCATCTTCATGCCACTCTGTCTGTGAAGAGTGTGTCCACCCTTTGTATCTGGCAACTGAAAACTGTTGCAAAAGTCACTCATCTTTAAGTGATACACATTGGTGTAATATCAATTTTCAGTTTGCAGCAGAGCTTATCCTAAAGGTGAAGTCAGGAAAGGCTGAAAAAACATATTCCTCCTGCTCCAGTCAAGCAGCTATGTAGTCAAAGCAGATCCACAGGGAAAAAAATGATTATGAAAGTAATGTATATAATTATGCACTGGAACATTAGAGGGTATCATTAAAAATCAAAGAAGCCTGAAAAGGAATATGGTGAAACTGCAGTGGAAATGTCACAATGCCAAATAAGACTTAAAATTAATTCTAATTTAGGGCTTTCCCCTATGACCTTAAAAAAAGAGAGGAGAGCAAGATCAAAACACTGCACCAAAAATCTCTATTAATTTCATTCTAAGTTTACCATTATTTCAATGACATTGTAGCCTTAGAAGACAGAAAAAAGTTGCCAGTGAAGCTGTAAATCATAGAAAAATTAATGAAAGTATCAGCACTGCATGGAAAAGAAGAAAGACTGTTTTGGGGACAAAGCTTTGACCAGTTCAAAAGTTATGCCATGTGTATGTTCAGTAAAAACCAATGTAATTTCCCTAACCGCAGCCACTAAGCATGTGTGTGCTGCACCGAAGATACTAGATTTGCAGAAGCAGGAAGAGTTTGCACATACAAAAGGTTCACTGAGTTTGGGTTATACACTTTCAGCAAATCCCAAACAGAAACAAGCACAAATCCATGAACTGTGATGCAAAGAAATGGAGGCTCTTTGGGTAAATACCTCTGGGAAAAGCCAAAAACCAACTAGTGAAATCCAGAGTTTGCCCATTGCTTTAGTGCTGAAGGGCCAAGGCTGTTGCCTGTGAAAGATCAAGGGGGATTTGGGCAATGTCCATGTGGATTGCCCTGGCTTCTGCATTAGCAAAATTTGGCAGTAGCTCGTGGACAAAGTGATGACATTTTCTTACTCTCCAGTTCATAACTGGGAACCAACAGCTAACGGCACCTTTGGGTTCCCTGAGCCTGCTGGTTGAGTTGGTGTGCAGGACCCGAGTGAGGGGAACCTCCATCACCTGCCAGACACAGGGCAGTTGCAAGACCAGCAGATGAGGTTGCCACACTGCTGACCCATGCACCAAGAGAGGCCATGCAGGCAGGGAAGCAGGCTCAGGTTTTATTTTCTCTGTATTCCTGGCTGTTTCTGGCATGTCCAACATACTGACAATTCTGCTGACTTCTACAGGAGATACCACAGGTCTGCTCTGTACTAAAGCAGACAATATGTGCTTGAAAATACACTTGCAAAACTCAGTTTCCTTTCAAATATTCTCATTTCAGAGACTTATAGCATTCAACTCTAGTGGATAAAATTGTCAAGGCATAGCTAAAACTAGATTCCCTTAGCCCCTACTCATATGCACTAATTAAAACACAAGAGACCTTCTGAGGGCATGTTGCTTTAGAAACTAAGCTGGATCACCTTACCAGCAAGAATTTTCTTGCCATCCTTTCTGCAAACTTAATCTCATAAACTGTAACCATTAGTACATAAAGAAACCCATCAAAATTCAGAATCCACAGCTGGAAGTTACGGTAGGCTCTAGATGTAAGTTTAACCAAGTAGTCAGCTGTCACTGTCAAAACAGCTATCAGCTAGTGTGTTCACTGAACTAGACAGCAAAGTCGGTATAGTAGAGCAGGAGTATATTTCTTACTTGCTTGAAAAATGCTTACTTTTAAAAAGGTGTTTATATCACCTAGGGGAGCAGACCTCTTTTTGCAAAATCAGAATGTTTCATGCCTTGTAAACACAGATTTTTTTCAAGACACTTCAAGTGAAACTCAGTGAGTGGAGCACTGATCAGCAGCCTGGTAATCCAAACACCAACTCACAGAGCTCTTCAGCAACACTTGGAAAATCAGCTTCAGATGGGGATTTCCTGTTCAACTACCTGCATGACATTCTTCAGGCATCTGATAGACCACATTCTGACGTCCCTTCTTCTCCATGCCAGTTCCTCTTTATCTGGCAAGTCCATTTTAAGGTGGCAAAGGCTCACTTTGGATAAATAGACAACATATTAAGTGGGACCTCTTGCCCATTTTCCTCCTGCTATATCACAAGTCCATTGCTAACACACCCTCCAGCAATTTTTCTGTGCACACATGTGGATGTGGGTCAGCCAGCTGTGTAGCATGGCTAGGAGGGGGCCAGCCTTGTGCAACACCACAGGTATATGAGGGGAAAAATATGCCAATCCTCAGCTACCGTTTCTTGCATTTTCAGTCTTCCTGAGAAGCTGGGATATTGTGGTAAACTGCCTTGCCAGAATGGTGTGATTAGACAGCAATGAAGAGTTCAAGTGTGTGTTCACCAAGGAAAAGAAATATGCCTGATCTTACTTCAGTAGTTCACAACGAGCTTCCATTTTTTTGGGGGAGAAAGAGGAGTTTTTTGTGGGTTTTTTTATAACATCTGGAACATAGCTCTCTAAATTTCTCTCCCCTTAGCTCTGCAGAGAGGTTAAAATAACTGCTGCAAGTATTAAATTAGTAAATTTGTACAAACCAGAGTCATACCAGAAATACTACAGCCTACATTCTGGAAAAGTGTGAGCCACAGTTCTGCAGTAAAATTGCCATTACCTTAGCAGAGGTCTGAAAATATTTTTGTCTGCCTTTTTCCCCTGAAGAGCCATCAATTAACATTCAGACTGTCACAGACAGAAGACCAGTGGTACATCTGTGTTGGTCAGAAGGAAATCTCTGGTCTGAGAACCACACACATGCAGCCTGCATGTCTATTCCACACAGCCCAGTTATCACCCAGTGGCATTAAGGGCTCTTTGCAAATGTGCTCAAAAACCCTACAAATTCTTTCCATACGAAAAATCCCAGTATCTCTGTTCCAAAGTTTTATTTGGGCTGCAGCCAGAAATCCTTAGAGAGGCATTCC